ATTTGTGAATGAATAAAATCCAAAAGAGTTATGTTTTTCTTTTCTTTGAATACTCTTTCTTTCGTTTTCATTTTCCTTTTTTATTCCAATCCAAAAAAAAAAAAAAAAAAAAAAATAAAGAAGAAGAAAAGAACGTTTCGAACGATTTTCCTTTAAACTTACATAATTTTATCAGTTTCCTTTTAACAGTCGTGAATTCTTTATTAGTGTATTTAGTTAAAAAGTATTTACTTAAAACTAAATATTTTTAAGTAAATACTTTGTCAGCTCATAGAAATAATTCATCGAACTAATTAATCGCATTCTATTTTTGTTGTTAAAAGAAAAAAAAAAAAAAAAAAAAACTAGAGCTCGACTTGTTGCCTTCGGTTGGTAGAGAGGAAAAAAACAAAAAAATTAAAAAAAAAAAAAAAAAAAAGGAACAAGGAAAACGAGGAAATAAAGACCTTAAGGAAAAAGCCAAAAAAATGCTTACGACTAAGAAAACAAATTATTTAACCTGTACGCATAATCATTAATTTGCATTCAAAGGTACGTTACAAACGAACGGTATATTATCAATTATAAAACAATGAATTTTAAATGACTACGATGTATGTTACGCGATAGAAATAGTTAGCTAACGTAAATGAAAAAAAAAGAAACAAAGAAACAAAAAAAAAAAAACAAAAAAAGAAGAAATGGAAAATAACTATTTCGATCTTATCGATTGTAACATTAATCTCTCTCTCTCTCTCTCTCTCTTTGAAAAATTTTTTCTGATAGGACAAAAAAAAAGAAATAAATATATAAATAAATAAATAAATAAATAAATAAATAGATAATTTCTCTGACGCATAAATGTATCTCCGTAGAAACAGTTACAAAAAATAAATAAATGAATGTATGTATGAATGAATGAATGAATGAATGAATGAATGAATGAATGAATGAATGAATGAATATATGTAAGTAAAAAAAAGAAAAAAGAGGAATGAAAGAGGGATATGAAAGAAAACGAAAAAACAAAGAAAAAGAAAAAGAAAAAGAAAGGGGAAAAAAAAGAAAAAGAAAAAGGGAGGAAAAAAAGAGGAATAAGAAAACGGAGTTAGATAGATAGATAGATAGATAAAGAGAGAGAGAGAGAAAGAGAGAGAGAGAGAAACAGAGAGAGAGACAGAGAGAGAGAAAGAGAGAGAGAGGAGACACATTGGAATGTCATGCCCGGTCCCAAACGCAGGCATATCGAGGGTTGTCGCCCTGAAATGGTTGGCACGTGTAACTTTTCGTCGTCCTTGAGGCCCTCACGCTGAGTGCAAAAAAGATGCCTCCACGACTTTCTCACGATACTTTTTCTTAAATCATCAGTTATCTACGTACATGTATATATATATATATATATATATATATATACGTATATTATAAGTATCTACATACGTATATATTTACGTACGCATATGTAGTTATATATATATGTATGTCAAAGTTCAAAATGGGAACTCCCTTTTGAACTAATTACGATTGAGGGTAAATTGTCTGTCTTTCTCTCTCTCTCTCTCTCTCTCTCTCTCTCTCTTACTCTCCCGTTATATTCACTCTTACATTCTCACTTTCACTTTTCAGACATGATAAATAACGTACAATTACGATAAAAACCAAAATAATTATTAATCGTGTCGATTAGGACGATGTTATTATAATTATATTTATTTCTAAATATATGTATAATTAGAATGTATTAAATCGTAATCATTCGAATGCATGAGAAATGGAGATATATATATATATATATAAAAAAAGGAAAAAAAAGGAAAAAAAAAAAGAATTGAAGAAACCAAATCGAATATTGCAAAAGATTAAAATTAAGATTCGCGATGAAGGAATTAAAATTGAAAGGGAAAATAAAGCGTGGAGGAAAAGAGGAAAGAGAAGAGAAGAAAAGAAAAAGAAAAATGGAGAAGAGAAAAGAAGAAGGAAAAAAGAAGAAGAAAGGCAAAAAAAGAAGAAAAGAAAACGTTGAAAGAGAGAGATAGTTAAAAATGTCTCTTTAATCTCAAATTTATGTGTTTATCACATTTATGCGTTTAAATATATATATATATATATATATATGTGTGCGTGTGTTTTTGTGTGTATGTGTGTATATTTTTTTGGTGTATATGTGTGTGTGCGCATTTGTAAATTGTTCGAAGAAAAAGAGTACGAGTACTTTTCCGTGGATCATTTAAATAAGCAATCGCTAACAATCTAAATGTCTTCTAACAAGAGGTTTTGCTTTTTTTTACTTTACTGCGTACTATGTATTTATATTACGACAAAGTTATAATTATATCGTGAATAGATAATGTATAGAAGACGTTAGAACTAGTTAAAAAAAACGTGAGCAGTCAAAGGTTCCTCTAATTTTATTTTTTTTTCTTTTGCTTTTTTCCCACTGTCTCTCTCTCTCTCTCTCTCTCTCTCTCTTCTTTCCTTCTTCTTATCTAAAAAAAAAAAAAAAATATATATATATATAAATGTATGTAATATGTAATATGTGTATATGTATACATATATATATATATATAGTACATATGTATCTCAAGAATATTCAGGTCGAATTTGATGTTAAACCTATCGTATCGGTTGTTACGAGAACCTCCCGCGAGATAAAAAAAAAAAAAAAGAAACAAAGTAGAATGAATTATTGTTAAGTATTTGTAATATATAACTAAGATAATACATAATGTAATGTAAATGTAATATATATATATATATTTTTTTTTTCTTTTTCCTTTATATAATACATAGAAAAATTATCGAAACGAATAATTTAGATTTATTTTAAAGAGGTATTATTCCTATTCCTCATGGCCATTTAGAGATAACACGGAACAGAATGAATTATTTTAGTATAAATATTGAACATGAGAAATCGTACATACATACATATATACATATATATATATATATATATAGATGAATCAAATAATGACGTCTAAGTTATTAAAGATGTTAAATCGTGTAAATTTCATTATATGATATATATACGTATGTAATACGTTTACGATCTTTCGTCATAGTTAGGCTAATTTATGATAAAAATGAAATTTACATGGACGTGAATTGCGTTTTCTCTTGAAACTTATTCCATCTAAAATCATCGTCCATCGAATGAGAAAGATCGAGAATAAAAAAAAAAGAGGGAGAGAAAGAGAGAGAGAGAGAGAGAGAGTCAGAGAAGTAGTGGGAGTAAAACAGAAGAAGACAGAAATATTTTATTATAGAAGCCAACGGGGCCCGGATTGTGCTCCGCCCTACGACACGTGTGTGACCTTGACTTTGAGCTTCAAAGGCAAACCCTCTTGCTTACGTACATACATACATACATACATACATACATACACATATATATATATATTTTTTTTTTTTATATTTATATTTATTATATATTTATAGAAGACACGAGTAAAACTTAAAAATCAAACGAAATTCTTAGAACTTGCTCACGAAAATATTTATCTCTTTCAACAACTAAAAAATCTTCTGATAACGTTTAAGAAAGAAATAAAGAATGAAAAAAGGGAGAGAGAAGTAGGAAGGGGGAGAGAGGGAAGCAAGAAGAGAAAAAGAAAAAAAGAAAAAGACAAGAGAGAAGAAACGACAAATAAAAAAAAAATTGTGATAAAATGACATACACACACACTCTCTCTCTCTCTCTCTCTCTCTCTCTCTCTCTCTCTCTCTCTCTCTCTCTCTCTCTCTCTCTCTCTTTCTCTGTGTCTCTCTGTCTATAACGTAGCAGAGATAATTAAGAAAAAGAAAAGAAAAAAACGAACAAAAAAGCAGCAAAAAAAAAATCATATTTTGTTTGATTATTGAAATCAGCAACACTGTTGCAACTATTTATATATATATATATATGTCTCTGTGCGTGTGTGTGTGCAAAGAGAGAGTGAATGAATGTTTAAGAGAGAACGATATTTATATATATATATATATATATATATATATATATATATATATATATATATATATATATATATATATAGAGAGAGAGAGAGAGGGAGAGAGAGAGAGAGAGAAATAGAGAGAGAGAGAACTATGTTATATTATAATTATAATTAATTAGAATTATATTATAATTAATATTATTGTCACATCGAAGAGATTCTAGTTAAATATATACACATATATATACATATATATATATATATATATATTTATATATATATATATATTTATTATTATGCGGTTGGTATACAACACTTAAACGCATCTCGTTGCTGCTTCTATAAACAGTCTGACATTCTAATGTGTCTACGCCGGTTAAAGCCGCGTAGAAGTTCAGTTCAGAGAAGTGGAGGTGCACGTGGGGGCCACGATAAAGGACCACCCATTTCGGCCCAACGACGACACGTGTACGACCTTGACTGTGACCTTCGCTACCTTGGTAGATCGCTTACCCCCCGAGATAAAGAATAAGGGGGCTCGGGTCTGCTCTATTTTCGAATCTGGTTGTCCCTCTTTCTTTATCTTTTTTATTTACGCTTTTTCCTTTCTTTTCTTTTTTCTTTTTTTTCCTTTTCTTTTCCCCTCCCCTCCTACCACCCCCCTCTCTCTCTGTCTCTTCTTTTCGAAGTCTTTCCTTTTTTTCTTTTATCTCTTTTATTTTTATTTTCATTTTATTCCTCGACGAAAGAAATATATGTAAAAGAATAAAAAAAAGAAAAAGAAAAGAAAAGGGTGAGAGAGTTAGATCGACTTGTCTTTCACTAATCGTTTCTATTGTTACTCATAATCAGGCTAATCAATGGTCTTCTTAATTTAATTAATTACTATTTATTTATATATTTATTTATTTTTTTTTTTGCTTAAGAGAGAGAGAGAGAGAAGTATGATCTTGTTAAAAGATAAAAATATTATTAAAATGAAAGAATAAGGAAAAGTAAAAATAAAAAAAAGAGAGAAAGAGAGAGAGAGAGAGAGAGAGAGAGAGAGAGAAGAAAAAGAAGAAAGTAACATAAAGTAAATAAGAAAAATATATTGAGAAGTGAAAGAATGAGGTGGGGAGAAATAAGAAATGATAATAATAAATGAAGATTGTCTGTTATCGGTCGTGATAAAATAATGAGAACAAGCAAGAACATTTTTATACCAGTGTAATTTTATTGAATGCAATTCAAGATTAATTGACTCGGATAATTAATAATCAAGCAGCCCTTGTCACGATTTCATTGACCCAGTTTTCTTTTACGTCGCACGAAGAAGCGTTCATTTGCGCGATGAACTTTGACAAGAAAGAAGAAGACGAAGAAGAAAATGATGATGAAGAAAGTTCTATTTAGATATTTCCGCTTAATTTTCTTCGTTCTTTTTGTTGGATAAAACTACGACGAGGACAAGGACGATGTCTTCGTCGCGAAAGTTTTCAATAAGGAACGATAATCGTCGCTACAACAACAATTCGCTATAAGTCGATGTTCTCTGCAACTGTTGGCATGTAAAAATCGACAATCAGCCAATTTGCATTGATATGGCAATTCTTCGATGTAAGGATTTGTGCAACAGCAAGCATCATGTAACAATTTCTCACTGCAATAGGGATATATGGAGCTATCGCAAAGCGGACACTTTCTTCTGAAAAAAAAAAGGAAAAAAGAAAAACAGAAAAAAAATCATTCGAATATATCGAAAATAAGAGCGCGTTCATTGACTAATGATATCGTAGATATAAGAAATAAAATAGTAACTCGTTCGATAAAATAAAAACAGTATACTTACTTATCGATTGATGGGTACGGTCGGTAAATGTTACCGATCGATGGTACATCGTAGTACTGGCGAATATCGGCTCGTGGCTCCGGGGTGTAGAAAAACTTAGCCCCTGATGATTGATCATCCGTCACGTCACTGCTGTCATTCGGGTTATCTGTAGTTAGGGGCAAAGATTTTTTTGTACAAAATTGAATTTATAATCCAAACGCAATATATGCTATTACACATTATTCCTACAATATTAATAAATAAATTAAAGCGTATTAATTCTATTATTTAATAATATTTCTTTTTAATTTATATTAATATAATCATTGAATAATATAAATTATATTTATGATATAATGAATTATGCGACTTACTTGATACACCCAATACGTTGTTACGAAGGATAAATATCACAAATAAAGCCACGAAAAGATTCATTCTATGTCGTCCCATAGATATTCTCAATTGGAACAACAAACACCACAAAGTTTTTCGAAGGAACGAAATGAAATCGTCGATCGTTTTCGTGAAACTACGTGAGATTACTTAACCACGTATATCTGAGATACCTTATGGTGGTATCAAAAGTATTCACGGAGTCCGTTAGTTGAAACTGGTTATATGGCTTGATCTCACTAACATCTTCACATATACACAAGCAAGATGAACGAGTAGATAAGTAGAATCATATATATATATATATATATATATATATATATATATATATATATATATATAATACTTAATGATAAATTACAAAACGAAAAGTAAACGAAAGTAGAAAAAAATTTATATGAATAAAATTCTTTTGAATATTATTAGACGTAAATTAATCGCCAATTAAATTTGTCTCTAAACATCATACACATAAATCCAATTTATTATTTTTTTTTTCTTACGTATTCTATTCTATTCTTTTTTTTTTTTTTTTTTTTTTTTTTTTCAGGACAAAAACGAAAGTAGGCTCAATGAACGTTCGTCAAGATAGAAAGTTCGTCAATATTAGCATATTATCGCATTGACCTTTTTATTCATTCACTAAAAGTGTAAAATTCTGACGATTAGTTTGTTCCATCGCCATACGAATTCTTACACACACATTCAATTCTAATTAACATTCTTGATTGATACATGAACATATGACGTTAATAAAAAAAGATAAATGGAAAACAAAGAAATATGCAAAATGGATAATGTAATAATTCGCGTGTGAATGAGCTCGTGAATGTACATTAGTGTGCGTGTGTGTGTGTGTGTGTATGCGTGAATTAAACAACGCCGCTAATCGATTACAATTCTTTATATCAAAGTCTCTCTTTCTCTCTCTCTTTTTCTCTTTCTTCTTTCTCTCTCTCTCTCTCTTTCTCTTTTTCTCTTTGAAATCGTCGTCAATTTTATTTTACGAGAGGAAGTAAGCAGAGAGACAATATAAATTGTGACGTAAACAGAAGGAGAAGAAAAAGGAAAAAGAAGGTTCGCGTGTCGTCATTAAACTTAATCCCAGAGTTCTTTCTTTTTTTTTTTTTTTTTTTTCTTCTTTTCTATTTTTTTTATCCTTTCCTTCGTCCATACTTTATCATTATCTTTAAAATTCCAATCGTTTATATACGTCTGGCTAATTATTTTTGTTATTTGTCGTCATCATTAAAATTTCTCAAAGGATTTTATAACGATAAATTATTAAATTTATCTTTCGTTCAAATTCGAACGTCATTAAATAATCATAATAATAAATAAATAATGATTTGGTTTAATCGAACTCCTTAAAACTGCTGTTTGTGTATATATTAATATAATTGAAAAATTTATTCTTTACCTTCTTGGTTCTTTTCTTTTTTCTTTTTTTTATAATTTTTTTACTTTGCTTCCTTTGATATATATAAAATTGAAAAGAAAAGAAAAATTTACAAACAAACGAAGATATTCGTCCATCTGTCAACTTAATATTATTGATCGATGTAAAAATAATTTATTAAGGAGTATAATCCTTACTGTACAAAATATTTGGTAAGATTTATCATAATCGTATATTACGTTAAGTATAATCCGAGCACCATTGCTAATGTAATCAGGAACATTGTTAAATTTGCATCATTGCGAGATCCTACGCCAGTCGCTAAATATTTCCCTGGAATAAAAACATAAATAAAAAAATCAAAAAAAAAAAAAGAAAAAGAAAAAGAAAAAAGAAAATCAAAAAAAAAAAGAAGAAGATGAAGAAAAATAATTGGATACAATTATGGTATATACAAATTGTTCATCAAATAATTGATGAACAATTGATAAATCAAAATATAAATTATACTCTCTTTCTCTCTCTCTCTCTCTCTCTCTCTCTCTGTATTAATATAATAACTACTATTAAATAGTATAATTATTAAACAATAATTATATTATTCTATTATATTATTATTATTAATTTAAATATATTAAGTAGTATAATATATTATTTGCTATACTATACTGTACTATACTATACTATACTATACTATACTATACTATACTATACTATACTATACTATACCATACTATACCATTACATTATTGTTATTATTATCAGTATATCAATTACTATATAGTAATACAATTTCATAATTATATTAATATAATATAATTATAACATAACTATGAAGTATACTATAAATATAGTATAGTATAGTATATTATATGATAATATATATATGTAATATTGATAAAGTAATGGAAATATATCAGAAATATATATATATATATATATATATATATATATATTTCTTTCTTTCTTTAACTTACACACAGAAGCCAAATAAGAGTGACAACAACATTCACGTAATCTTGTATACTCTGCACAATCTCCAGCCTCTACTTTGCATTCTTCTGGTCCCACGCGACAAGTGTGTTCAACGAAGGGGAACACTTCTGAAACAATGGAAAATTTACGAACTAACAAACCACGAAATAGACATATATATTACATAAATATTTCATACTATTAATCACGATTGTTCACATAATAGAATTTATATATATATATATATATATATATATATAAACTTAAACAAAAAATAATATAATAATAATAAAAATAAAAAATAAAAGAATAATAAAACTATAATAATTTATATATATATATATATATATATATATATATATATATATAAGAAATTTTGAATAGATGATTTTATTGGACTTTTAAATAAACTCATATCCGAATAATAAACTTTTACATCATGCATGTAAAATAGTTATAATCAACAACCGGTTTAGTATCTGATGTGTGTCTATGGTTAATTTTCTTAAAGAGATAACAAAAAAAAAAAAAATACTTCCTGTGTTGTTTCTTTACGTTAATTTACATTATCGTGTATTACCTCAAAAAGGAAGAAGAAAATGTGATAAGATAGACAAAATTAAAGTAAACAAGTAAAATAATATAATTCATTCATTAATAATAATAATGAGAATATATATAAAATAAACAAATAAAATATTTTCATGTGCCTGTCAAATTAACTATTCTGACGTTTACAATATTAACATACTAATCAGCTGATTTTCAAAATAAAAGTAAAAGAATATAAATTATCTTTTAATACGATTTGTCATGATAAACTTTTCCATTGGGAAAAATTCTTGACCTTTCCCTTTTCAATTGTCATTTTAAAAATAAAATTCATACATTAAGAAAGGAAGAAAAAAAAAAATAAAACAATATAAATAAATAAATAAAAAGAAAAAGAAAATCGAAAAGAGCCACGAATCTTTCAAATCATTTATTATTTCTCATATGTAATAAGTAATAATTATTACATTATTACGTGTATTAGAAATTTTAATATTATTACATATTAAATAATATAATTAAATAATAATTTAATCTATCAAACTTTGTTATCCATTATTATTAAATAAAAAAATATTAAACGTGAATAATAAAAAACAAAAAAAAAAAGAAATTTAATCGAATACTATTGGCCAATATAATCAATACTTGTAACAACGATTGAAACGATTTTATACTTGAAATAAAATTACGTATATGAGCGCGCGCGCACAAACACACACCGACACACGTGCAATAAAAAAAAAAATTGCATGTACATTAAACGAACACGAGTATATTCCTGTGACCGGTCAACAATGTCTTTAAGGTAACATGCAGAAAGTAACGAACTAAACGATCGATTCACGATCGATCGAATGGTTAAAAGGATTTTATATATTCTGCGTACGTGCACTTCGTACGTGCAGCAACGCGATTTCATTGTTACTACCGGCTAAAGTCGAATAATGGCTTCTGGTGAGCTTGCTTAAATAATTTTTGTCTTTTTTTTTTTTTTTTTTTTTTTTTAAATCATTCCTTCGATGTCTTTAACCCGTTCGATTAGCAATTTGTATAATCCATAATAACGATTCTTCTATTTATCATTATTAGAATCGTATATTTGGATTCTCGAAGGAAACAAATTTCAATTACAAATATCTTTAATTAAATATATTAATTGATTAATAAATGATTTAATTGAAATGTCCATTTCAATTATTAAATCGCATTTGTATCGTGTTCGTTCTTTTTTTTTTTTTTTTTTTTTTTTTTTTTTTTTTTTTTTTTTTTTTTTTTTTTTTTTTTTTTTTTTTTTTTTTTTTGTTTTTTTGTTTTTCTTTCCTTTTTTCTTTTCTTCTTTCATCTTTCTCACCTTTCAATTCATCGTAAAACTAATAGGTCGGACATTATTTTCCATTTAGATTTAAGTTTAAGTCAAAGTTGTGCGCAAAGTCTGGCGAGCTAATTGACTTTTTTCTTTTTTTTTTTCTTTTTTTTTTTTTCTTTTTTTTTTTTTTTGTTATACTCACGGCAAATACGTCGCCGATCGTTATTATTGTAATGGGATGTAATGTCCTATCATAGAGACGAATTAGAAGTCGACATTAGGAACGATTCGATTATTATTTTTTCTTTCTTTTTTTTCTCTTTTTTCTTTTTTTTTTTTTTTTTCTTTTTCCTTTTCCTTTTCTATTACTATGCGCACACGTAAAAAGGATCGCTCGCGTACGAGGACATTCATTTTTCACGCACGAACTATCGTCTGAATGAGACTATCGTTTTTCTAACGCTTTTGTTATCTCGCGAATCATACATATACATATGATATAAAACGATGATATAAAACGAGAGAGATCGTAATTCAAAAAAAAAAAAAAAATGAAAACTATGTTTTTTATCCCTGTGTGTATGTATGTGTGTGTATGTGTGCACACCTTATATAAATATGATATTACAAATACATGAATAAGTATTATATACGAGAAAAAAATCATCTTAAATGAAACATAAATTTTGTATAAATTTTGTAAAAGAAAAAAATATATATATATATATATATATATATATATATATATAAAATGGAATTAATGTAGAGTTGAGTTTGTTCCGAACGAACTTTGATAAGAGATTATAAAGAATGAAAGAAAGAAAGAAAGAAAGAAAAAGAAAATCAAGAGAAGAAAGAGAGAGAGAGAGAGAGAAAAAAAAAAGGAAAAATTGTTACACAAAGACAAGACTGAGAAATAAAAAAAAAAAAAAACTAAAAGAAAGAAAAAAAAAATCCCTAAACGCCTTATATGTAAATCGAAAAAAAAAGAAGAAGTCATATCACAATGATAATGATCAAATTAGATAATAATTTTATTAATCATTGCTATATATATATATATATATATATATAAATAGACTTACTATTGTAACTACCGTCGCAACAGCAATGATCATTAATGACGCTTCCATTCTTGCAATAGGTTATCTCTGAATTGGTGCAATGTTTACATCCTGGTATTGGACCTGAAATAATAATAAACCGTGATATAAAATAATCCAAAGGAGAGAGAAAGAGAGAGAGAGAGAGAGAGAGAGATTATTTTGATTAAACATTATTAAATTTTTACAAATATTATGAACGTGATCTAAGTAAAAAAAAAAAAAAAAAAAAAAAAAAAAGAAGAAAAGAAAAAAAAGAAAAAAGAAAAAAAAAAGAGAAGATAAATAAAAGGTGTGTTAGACATTGACGTCGTTCAAAGAGATCTAAGTAAGTATATAACGTAGAGATCGAGAACAAGGTGATCGTTCAAGTAAAGCAAAGAACCCGTCAGTCGCCGCCATTATGTACATTACATATGTATGTATATTAACATAGTCCACGTTTCATCTCGGCTATGTTATATCCAAAATAAGAACAATACACTTATCCTAAAATCAATCCTATTCGAGTGCATTCGTTTCTTCCGATCTTTCATTGTTCTCAATCGATTAGATCAAAGGGAGAGTGTTATTCTTAGTTTGATATGATAAACAAACGTATCCAGGTTTAAAACCATATCAAAATTGTTTAACTCGTACTACATTCCTACGAGTGACTAGAGAACATTACAATGTAAATGCATAAACACACACACACACACACACACACTATATATATATATACGTAAATGTACATGTATACATAGATATGTAGATAAACGTATTATATGGTATTAATATAAATTTGTTAATCATTTAAATGATTATTTTACCAGGATAAATCTCGAGTTTTTTTGCTTCGTTGATCGCATCCTCGTAAAGGACTTCATGCTCGAGTACATATTCGTCGTCTGTATGATGATTGACAATCGTCAATGCCTTCATATAAGTCAATGTTGTTATCAAAATTAAAATCGTCAATCTAACAACGTTGCTCATAATAATGATATATCTTCTTCCATATTCTCTTTATGCCTTTAAATTAATTCAATTCGATCCTTAATTATTTATAAATCGATGATAAAGTCCCTCGTGATTTCTGTTCAAAAATCAAAATATACAAGTATTAAGAAATTTAAATAAATAAATAAATAAATAAATAAATAAATAAATAAATAAATAAATGAATAAATAAATAAGTAAATAAATTGTTTAAAAATTATTAATATTGTATTAAAGAATTATACTTCTTTCTTTTTCTATTCTTTTTTCTTTTTTCTCTTTTTTCTTTTGCTTTTTTTTTTTTTTTTTTTTTTTTCATAACATTTAATTCCATATAATTATAACAATTGTGATTAATTTAAATCGCATGAAAAAATAATATTTATATAATTTCAATGAATTTAGATTTCGCGATAAAGATTTCGAGTACGAATAATGAAACGTTGGCTTAATTGTTTGTTATATAAATTTTTTTTCAATTTATATATATATATACGCTTTACTTTATTGCGTTTGACAAAGAGTATTAACCTTGACGAAGGTCATTCTCAGGACACGTGTCCTACACGAGAAAAGAGTAGAACGAAAGAGGGGAAGAGAAAGAGAGAGAAAAAGAGAGAGAGAGAGAGAGAGAAAGACAGGGCACGTTTTGATATCGATTCGTTTTCTTTCGATGAAGGGATGAATCATCCCTTACTACCCACGACTTAATTCAGCCACAACCCTCTACCTTGAGGGAGTATAAATGCTTTCTCGTAGAAGGGCAGTTCGTTGAAATTTTCAGATTCATAAAAAATACATTTTCTTTCTATCTATTTTTATTTTCTCTCTTTCTCCTTTTCTCTTTTTCTCTCTCACTCTCTGATTCATACATTTCATATATAATAAATAATGATTAACAAATCGATTATCCCTTAATCCGTAATATTCTTTTATGTGTGAATATTATTACTTTAAAAAAAAAAAAATATATATATATCATAATATAAAATATTTTACATTCTTATAATGATATATAATAAATAATACATTATTATATACGTATATATACCATATTAATAATATATTTAATAGATTATAAATATATCATTAATTTATATAAGTGTAATAAAATATAACAATATATTTAATATTTATTATAGCATATAAATATTATATATTGAAATAATAATTACTTTCGTTTGATTTATATTGTTAAAATTAATTTATATATATACATATATATATATATTTTTTCTTTTTTTTTTTCAGAGAAAAGAATGAAATTTTTCAGTTAAATTTTTCCACAAGAATACACAAGAAGTGTTGAATTCCGTAAGTTGTCGTGAGTCACTTGATTTAATGAAGTAGTTGAACATCAAGAGGAAAAGAGAGAGAATAAGAAAGAAAGAGAAAGAGGGGTGAGAGAGAGAGAGAGAGAGAGAGAGAGACAAAGATGCAATCATTAATTAAAGTCTATTAAGAGTTCCACGCGCAAAATAAGAAGATATTCGTTTAATCAAATAACCAAGTCAATAACTAATATATATTAAATAACAAATTCCTATTATTATCGTTCGTTCTAATATTTATATCCATTTCTTTTCATTTCATTTTAAACTTTTCTTTCTGTCTTCCATCGAGTTAAGCACAAAACGTACGGAACACGTACGGCGAACTTAATTAAGGTATTAAGAACGATGTGGAAAAGATGAAGAAGACGATTTATCCACTTTAGGAATTACGTCACGATACTACTTGTTCTTGTTTTCTTCTTTTTTCTTTTTATTTTTTCTTTTTAATATTTTTTCTTTTTCTTTCTTTTTTTTTTTTTTTTTTGTAATATCCTTCAAAGGAAAAAAGGGAAAGAAGAGAAAAAAAAAACGCAAGAAAAAAAGAGACGGGAAGATTTTTTACTCCTCGATGATTTGAATTTTTTTTGTTTTATTTTTTTCTTTTTTTTTGTTTCTTTTCGTTCGTTCTTTCTTTTTTGCCTTTTTTTCCTTTTTTTCTAATATCTATATAAAAAATCAGATTGATAATATAATATAACAAAAATATTATTAAATTAAAATAAACAATACTATATATATATATATATATATATATATATATATATTACTATGATTATATTATATAAAACATAATGTATACTATTTTATTAATTAAAAAACAGAAGAAAAAAGAACAAACAGAAGGTAATAAATTTCGTTCGAGTGAAATGAAATAAAATCTAAACAGCATATAAATATATATATATGTATATAAATATATATACATATATATATATATGTACAAAATGTACATACAACGATACAATATAGAGTATTAACGATTCTATTTCATTTCTTTGTTCTCCTTTTTTTTTTTTATTTCTATTTGTGTCAAATGAATATTTTTTGTTAAAAAAAGAAAATGAACACTTTCGATAGGAAAAACTTTGAAGATAATAATCGATTTTCATTGATTAAAATATTTTATTATATCCAATCTTCTCTCTCTTTCTCTCTCTCTCCCTCCCTCTCTCTCTTTTTCTCGTATTCATGTTTCTTCTTTTTCGATGATTAATGAACGTAATTAAAAAAGTTTCAACGTAATCGTAACTTTACGTTTATCAAATAAAAACATTCGTTTCGACGTTTATATAATAATCTCTCATTTTCTCTTTCTTTCTCTCTCTCTTCCTGTCTTTCTTTCTTTTTATCAATGACTTTCAACCTCTGACATAGTTCCTATTAACGATCTCTCTTTTATTTTGTTCTTTAACTCCCCGCCCACCTACCCTCTCCTTCCTGTCGTTTCAAGAAACGTTAGAGAAAAGAAATGAAGAAGAAAGAGAAAAAGAGAAAAAGAGAGAGAGAGAGAGAGAGAGAGAGAGAGAGAGAGAAATTTGAAGAGCATATATCACTTGGAGGCTTATCAAACAGGAAGTTTATCTTTCTTGCTATCGTTCTTTACAACAACAAACTAAACAACCCAAATCAACTCTGTGAAATGTGCGTGTATGTGAATATATACATATATATCTGTATATATGTACGTAAGTATATAACATATTTTTTAATATTAATATAATAAAATAAAAATAATATGCACTTCGAAAGTACCTCTATGTATGTACATATACATATATATATATATATTCGTATGTATGTGTGTTTGTCTGTCTATATGTGTGTATGCGTCTCTGTGTGTATGAAGTAAAATAAAAAAAAGTATATAAAAATGTATATAAATAATATTAACACTATAATATAACAAAGTAATTGATAGAATTTATACTTTAATACTCACCCATTTCATTCGTTACAAATAATATTGATAAACTTTTTCACATATATATATATATATATATATATATATATATATACATATATACAAACAAACAAACAAACAAATAAACAAACAAATAAAACACCCTCGCAGATCGTTGCACTTTAAGATAATATAAATATTTCTTACATATCTTCTTAAGAATTACATTCGAATTAATCTGACGATGAATGAAATTTTGTTAATTCAAAAAAAAAAAAAAAAAAAAAAAAAAAAAGAAAATGCAAAATAAGTAAGAAAGGAGGAAAAAAAACGTGACATGTAAATGTCTTTTTTTGTTCTTTTTTTTTTCTTCTTCTTCTTTTTCTCTCCCTATCTCCCTCTTTTTTTCTATATGTATATATATATATATTTTTTTTTTTTTCAATGAGGTGTAAATGAACGAGCAAATAAATAAATAAATTTAAACTAGAAAAACACAGGATAATTGTATGAAGGAGGAACACGTGAAAGACAGAATGGCTGTTGCTGACGACGAATCGGCCGTCGATGTCTGCGGACTGCGTTGAACTGAGGGCTGAAGAGAGCATTAGGCGAACACAGTAGTATTCTCCTGGCATATCATTGATATAACCGTACACTACCACTACTATTACTACTACTACTACTACTACTACTACTACTACTATTACTATTACTATTACTATTACTATTACTATTACTATTAAACTTCCACTACTAAACTAATACTAATACTAATACTCTACTATATCTTTTTTATACCAACATAACATGAATATAATCGGTGCAACACCATCACGTATACGTATACATATATGCATATGTATATATATATATATATGCAAACACGATCGCGCGCGCGTGCATACACATACAAATATATATATATATCGTCACGTTCGTACTGTTGTCGTCACAAAGCGATCTTAAATCGTACGAAAAACTCTTTTGCGTAACGATTTGCAACGCATCCTAACGTTCGACTTAGCGCACATGTAAATGTATATACATACACACAGATCTATTTACACGCATATCAATATATCTATATGTGTATGTATATGTGTATAATAAAAATACATTGAAATAGCGGTATTATCGTTCGCGTGCCAGCTGTGCTAAGACTATTTAACAACGATTATGGCAATGATCCCGATTTTCGGTGTGGAATATCAAGTGGAATTATTTTAAACAAAATGAAGAACTTGAAAAAAGAAAGAAAAGGAAAAAATTGGGGAGAAGAAAAAAATTAATTAAATGTTAGAAAAAAAAGATAGAGAAAGAGGGAGGGAATAAAAAAATTTTTTTTAACGAAAAGAAAAGTTTATAAAAAAAAGTTTATAAGTAATATTAAAAAAAATTCCCTTTCTCTATCTCTCTCTCTCTCTCTCTCTCTCTCTCCTCTTTGTTTTACTTGTCTTTTTTGTTTTTTATAATTTACACTAAAGTAATATTTAATATAACAAAAAGAAAGAATATTCGAAAGAGAAAAAAAAGAAAGCAAAAAAGAAAAAATTAGAAAAGGAAACAATTCTTTCTATCGAAAAGAAAAGTCTAAAAATAGCTTTAAAATGCTCTCTCTCTCTCTCTCTCTCTCTCTCTCTCTCTCTCTCTCTCTCTCTCTCTCTCTCTCTCTCTCTCTCTCTCTTTCTCTCCTTTCTTCTGTCCTTTTTCTAAATTTTTTTTTTTTTCATCCGGTTCAAGTCAAACCCTTCACTTGAACATACATAAGAATAATAACAATGTCTGCGTATCTCTTCGTTCTCCTCGATCTTAGTTCATTCACATGAAATATATGTATATATATATATATATATATATATATATATATATATATATAATGTCTTTATACAATTCAACAGCTGACACCTGAAGAAGCGTATGAGACTTTGCGTAGACAGAATAAATGAGTCTCTTTTCGTATATATGTTGAGTGTGTGTGTGTGTGTCCCCAGTAATGCACATTCAAAGAGGGGAGATACACCTGGTGTCAAGAAGTGGGGGAAGTAAGCGAGATCCGCACATTTTCAATGTACATTTGTGTGATATATGTTAACCATAGGGTGAAACATTATTATTACGTCACACGTGATTCTGAAATAGATATAAAAATAATTACATAAATAAAACATGATTGCTTTTTAATATCGAGGAAAATTTTTAAAAGAAAAAGGAAACAACTTCATCGATTTATATTTTTGTTATTTCATTTTCGAATATACGTAATAAATTTTAATATGGATTTCATTGATCCATCTCAATTTTTCTTACTCAATTCACATATACGTCGAAGTTTTGTAAATAAAGTTTGTGTTTTATTTTTGGTTTTTTTTTTTTTTTTTTTTAGGGTGCGCCACAGTGACAAGCCCTTTTACGCTTCATATAACTTTAATTCTCTGTTACGCTCTATATATATATATATATATCTGTTAGTTAACAATACATAATACACATACATGCATACATGTATCCAATCGATCGATTAACTTAATTCTGATTGTCGATAAAACATTGAATTTGTATTTACCCGCGTAATCGTACTACGTTAGACGGTGTTAATGCTCACGATATTCGAAAGAAAAAAAAATGGGGAAAGAAAATAAAAAAAAAAAAGAATATTATTTATAAAATAATTAAGAAGATTTTTAATTGATTTTAATTATTTATATTTTAAAATAGAGTATACCAAGTGTTTTCCAATTTAGATCGATGCGTGTATGTTTATCTTTAGTCAGGTCTGTTTCACGTTAAATACTTCGCATATAATCGTTTCTAACCTTGAAAAATAACTAGTTACACGTTCGAAAAGTAGTACCTGCTTTCTTTCAATCTCACTTTGTCGTTTATTTTGCTTTTCATGAAATTCAACAATACAGAGAATAGATTTAACACAAACGATAACATACACACGAAGGTAAATAAATTGGACTAATTTCGTTTGAATTTATTTCTATTTTATATATATATATACCATTGAAAATCTATGTAATAATAATAATAATAATAATAATAATAATAATAATAATAATAATAATAATAATAATAATAATAATAATAATAATAATAATAATAATAATAACAACAATAACAATTCATTTATCAAATATTTATCGTTAAAGAAAACATTTGTTATAGGTTATGTACAATCTAGATGGAAAACTCGCATAATAATTTTCGTATAGATATTTTAAAATTCATATAAAAAAAAAAAATATATATATATATATATAGTTGTAATTAAATTATTGCAATTAACAGTTTAAATTTATAAAATCGATCTACGTATGCGATTAAAAATCTATGTAATATAAACAACAATAACAATAATAATAATAATAATAATTATTATTATTATTCAATTATTACATTTTCATCGTCGAGAAATAAATTTTTTTTTTATAGGTTATATACAATCTAGATGGAAAACTCATGCGATAATTTTCATTTGAACTTATGACAAAAGAAAAAAGAAAGAGAGAACAACTAAATATGTAATTTATACGTAATCATATATTATTATTATCGAATATATTTTAATTATTACAATTATATAAATTATATTTATAAAATCGATCGATAATAATTGTAAAACATTCGTGTATACATACAGACATTAAATATTTTCCCTCTGCCACCCATTATAGAAATCTTTAACGCTTGCGCAATACAAATATAACTTTTTTTTTTCCTTCTCCCTTACACAAATGAATTTAAATCTAATAAGCGTTCTTTCTTCTTCTTCTTCTATTTCCATCTTATATACACAGATACACAGATTGACGTTTTAATGCATTAGTTTCTTCTTTTTCTCTTTTTTTTCAGAATAAATAATTTTATATATATATATGTATGTATGTAAATATATATATATATATATACATATATGTATATATATATAAACAAAAGTTTATTTTCCATGATATTGTGAGAAACTTCTTAAAAAAATATTATATTTAAACGTTCGAAGGAAATATAAAGTGTTCGTTTGTATCATCGTTAATGTGTCATATGATATTGAGATATTAAATAAGATGGATTCGGCAGGTATAAGTGTAAAGGTATTTCAAGATAATAAAAATATTTACGAAAATTATTCCGAATATTCGAACGTGAATGATTTGAATGACGTAATTTGTAATATACGTAACATACAAGGGAAGATCAATGATTTTTTAACTCAACTTTTACAAGAGAATACATCGACCGATAAGAAAAGTAATTAAAAATAATTAATTAATTGGATTTTATTTTTATTATGTTTATTTGTTTGTTTGTTCATTAATTTTTTTCTTTAAATTGTTATTTTGCACAAATTTTAGATCACATGGCCGTGTCGGATACGGATTCAAACTCAACCGATGAAGATGTTGAAGTTGGGCCAAAGAAATGCAAGTTAATGAAATATACTTAATATATAGCATAATAATAAATATATAAAAAATGTTTATTTTTATTAAAATATAATAACAATTTTCTTTATGTCTGTCCTTTCATTAGCTTTGCCCTATCGTGGTGTACGTAACCTTTATCTTTGTACTTTGTCTGATCAAAATCACGTTTATAGAGATCAATCGAATTACTTTGATAAATTCAATTGAAGACGTATAAAAAAAAGTTTATATATTATTGGTAATATTTCTTTATTAAGAGATAATGAAATAATATGTTTCTAGATTGATATCAGTTTTCTATTTGTCAGATTACTTTCTAACGTATTGTATCGTTCGTATAACCTCTGGGAATGAATGTATGCAGATAATACCAAATCGCAGTGTATAATTTATTATACTTTATTTTATTTTATTTTTATTTTTATTGTTATCATTATTATATATTCCCTTATATCTTTATATCTGACAATATATTACAATAATAATCTGATTGATATATGTAGATATTTAATGTTTTCAGAATGAAATATGTCTACAATACTATCAAATGAATCCCAAATGAGATATGTGGTAGAATGGTTCAGGGAATGGTCAGAAATGCAGAGAGGAGATTTTTTAGAAATATTATTGGAACAATGTGGTTCTCCGGGTTTAGTCAATGGATTAGTACCTGGAATGGAAAATATGAGTTGTAAAGAAGGTTCGGATAGACCACCAAGCTTATTTCAATGTCGTGTGAAATTATTCAGAGAGTGGAGTCAAAATTGGTCACAACAAGAAAAAGATTCCTTGCTAGCTTCGATTAAAAGTATCGATGGGAAATTTGCTGGGAATTATGAACAAAGGTTATCCGCATTAATGGAAGAAAATTAAAATATATGGATTGATGTCGAGTTAAATTAATTTCATATATTAAACATGTAGAAACTAAAAATTTGATATTCAAAGGAATGAGATCTTATTTATGAGTTATTATAGAATAATCATTGAAATTTCAATAATAAGCTAATATGATTAAATGTCAACGAAGAAGGAAAAATTGTCTGAAAATTTTTCTTTTCAAATTTTTATAAACGTTCGTCCATAATCCTCGCATTGAATTATATACATAATAGAAATATTATATTATTATTCATGCTTTTATACATGAATTTAACATGTTTTCAAAAAACAAATTTTCATGGTTAGCACATTTTTAAATAAATCGCAACTGTTGTTTCTTTATCATAAGAATATTTATAAACAATCTATGTATGTGAGAGTTACAAAAGATATTGTTGTATCAGCAATTAATGATAATAATTTTTAATTTAAACTATAGTCTTTGAATAATCAATTGTTATAGGTATAAATAAATAAATATATATATATATATATTTAAATATATATACATATATATACATTCCATATTGTCAGTATTTACATTGTATGTATTTGGATGTGTGTCATTAAATATATTAAGAAAATACATATCTTTTTTGTTAATAATAAACTTTAATGAACTGTTTGAAAAGAAAAGCTCCAAGTATACAATCGATTTTGTTGTTATTATTGATGAAAACCCTACATTTTATTTACATACAAATAATATAATATACATCATATCTTCATATTTACATGTACCTTATAATAATATTAAAAAATATAAATATTATAGTGTACTTATTTACATTACATACAATGTAACAAATTACTAATATATGCATTATTAGAAAAAGTAATTTATACCATTCCAACTTACCAGTTCTATTAACAAATTATATTAGGATTATTATTGTATTTGTAGTGTATTTTTATATCCTTTTTATAAACGTTGTAACCATTTTGTACAAATATTTTTAATAGCAGTTTGTCCAAGACGATCAGATTCTTTTAAAATCTTTCTTACATCTTGAACTCTTGAATATTTAACAGCAAGAAGATACGCAGCTTTTAATTGTTTACTTTCGATGTATGCACTTATCTATAAAAAAAAAAAAAAAAAAAAAAAAAAAAAAAAAAAAAAAAAAAAAAAAAAAAAAAAAAAAGTAAGAAAATTTATTGATTACTCTTACTATTTATGATTTTATAATGATCAAATTAAAAAAGATCTCTCTTACTTTAAGTTCTATGTCTGTTATTAGTCTAACCAGTACATCTATCTGATCTTTTAAAATGTGTTCAGAATGATTGTATGAACGTTGAAGAATCAATTTTATACAATGTGTAAGTACGTGATCACATATAACGTGGGTATTAGATGCTCCAGAACTACGACAACATTTTATTAATTGTTCTACAGCAGTAACATTATCTTTTAAAGCTAATATATGTCCTGCTAAAGAATATACTTTTTGTGGTGAAAGATTGTAGTCTATAACAAAAAATTACATCATATGTAACATTATTACCATAAGAATTTAGATGTATATATATATATATATATATATATATATATACATATATATTATGTAGCATTAAATTATAACCTTGCATAATTCTGAACGCTATACCAAATCCTTCTTCAATGTCACGTCCACAAAGAATTGCTAATACAGCCAAGTGTGTTTTTTGTTGCTGATTACCAAATAAAGTAGGTAATTCAGAACTACAAGTAGCATCAGATTCAATGTCTGGAAAAAGGCTTAAAAATTCATTCGGTGATCTTCCTTCTTTCTCAGCATTTCCTAAAAACTTTGCTATTTCCATTTGTCTACTTATCGTATTTATATGCTTATCTATTTCAGAAGGCTCCATTTCCATAGTAAGAACATCATGATTACTATAATAGGAACTTGTACTCTTTCTTCTCTTTTTGCTAAAATCTCCAATATGTAATTCAGATTCTAAATGTTTTTGTGCATCAGTCAATAGATGCATTCTGTTGCATAAATCCGTGTAAGTAGTAGCTTGATTAGTATAAAAACGAATACATGTCATGGATGCTCTTATACAATCTTTCATAAAAAGTTGTAGTTGATATAAAATATACAAGGATTGTTTCTTTTCTAAACAATGGCAAACATATATTAAATATTTTTTCCAAAGTATTAAACTTGGATCTTTGGTTTTCATAGCTTCTTGTAATTTCTCAGCGTTTCCAGTTTTTAAGCAATACATATAAACAGCGTTAAAAAATAATTCAGGCTCTAAATCATTTTCTAAAATATAGTTAAGACATTTTTCAAATTCTTCGTGCTTCAAATAAAACTCTAATATAGAATTATAACTTCCATATGTAAGTAAATAATACAGGCTTTCCTTGTAATAAATGTTTTCTTTAAATGTATTTACATGTTTTATTGTTAATTGTCCTTGACTTATAGCTTTTAAATTATTAATTACAGATAATATCTCTGGTATTTTATCTACCTTCTGATTAGAATGAAATAGATAATAATTGTTTGTATTTGAATTATCTAATATTTGTAAAATTTCTGTTAATAAAGGTGGATCCTTTATTGGTCGATTTTTTACGCATTCACTTTTCTTTTGACTAGATGAATTTTTTTCTTCGATCGTATGTGATTTTATTTTGTTTGGAGGAATTTTGGGTTCATCTAAATTTTCCACATGTTTAGAAGATAATTCCTTTGGATAAGATAAAATTTCCCAACCATCGATATCATCCTGAATGACTTTATCAAGACAATGAAGAAATTTCTCTTTTGCTTGTTCAAAATAGCCCACTTTTAAACAAGCTTTACCCCAAGCTGCCCATACACCTTGAGTATCCAATCCTGATTTAGTACTAACATCCAATGCTAATGTCCATTGTTCTTTTTCAGTAAGTAAATCTCTTAATTTTCTCAAAGCATGTTCATCCATATCGTCTGAAGGTATAAGCGACAAACAATCAGAATGAATAAGTGTTGTTATAAGATCTATTTGTGATAGAAAACGATCACAGTGAGCCAATCCCGTATTGAAACCTAATTTAGCGCATTTCACTTTTGCTGCAACTAATAATGATTTTATCATCTTGATAATCACAATGTGATCTACTTCAGGATTTACTTCTCCATCATTAACTGGATATAATAATTGTTTCATTTCATCACACCGATCGAGTAGAAAACTATATCGATATATTATATTATTCTATAAATGTATTTCATAATTTAAATTTATATATAATATGAATAAATACCTTGTGTATGCTTTGTGATCCGAATGTAAATTTAAAATAGCTAAACATAAGGAAATGCTAGGAGCATATTCGAATGAAAATTCTTCTCTAATAGTTTTATTATGTCCTTCGTCTTTTGTTAATCTCCAATAATCCAATGCTTCGCTATTTGGCGTAGATGCTGATCCTTGCACCATATGCGTTTGCAAAGTAGTCTGACATTTACAATCTTCACAAACACGCACAGGTACTGAACTTGGATATCCAGGAACTTGCATACGACTTTGAGAACAAATGGCACAAACCACACGACCACATCTACGACAATGATGCCTTCTGTTAAACATTGAGAATATTACCGTTTTACAACAGCTACATTCTCTAGCCTGGAATAATTGTTATAAATAATATTATTAATATCAATTCGAATATATTTAATAAAATAAATTTAATAACGCTGCTTTTGAAATACTTTGTCATTTGGAATCCATTCTTCTTTTGTAGGCACCTTAGAAGGCATGATAAATTCATTACTTTCATTTTCCAAATTAGAATCTTGTATACTCTTTGATTTATTATCAATACCATCACGTTGTAAAGAAACTCTAAAGTCTAATGCTTTTTTACTATAAAACCTTATAATCTTATCAAATTCAGTCATCGATATACCTGTATCTTGCAAATCGATGTAGACGATATTTAATATTTTTTGAAGAGTTTCAAACTTACAATTCATTAATAATTGTTCTAACATTAGAAGTGGATCCTTTATAAGATGAATATATAATGATTTTTCTTTATCTTTTAATTCTTTCAGAATATCTATACCAATTAATGTTCTTTTGTATTTAATAATTTCTGTTTTCTTGCAATGTTGTAATAAATAATTAACGAGAAAGGATAGTGCACTGGTGGATTCAACTTTTTTAAGTACGACTTTACATATTTTCACTGAATGATTATGCGGTAACGATTGAAGAAGCTGAAACAATAAAAATTTTATGTTTATCATTTTTTTTTTTTTTTTTTTTTTTTTTTTTTAGAAAAATAAATAATCCCTTTTTTGTCGTCATAATTTCAATATATTACCTTCAAAGCTTGTTTAAAGTCTTGCCTTTCATTTTTTAATAAGCCAATTAAAAAATCTTGCGCAACAGAGGATTGTGCTTCTAATGTAAAAGATTGACACTCTAGCCATTCTAAACATAATTCAAACTTGTCTACACTTATCAAGGATTGCATTATATCAAATGGATCAATTCTATTTGTACAGTATGCAACATCGTACCAAGTATTATTATATTTGTTTGCACAATATGGTAACATTTTTCGAAAAATTGTTATTCTACGTAATATTTCTTTCATTTGAAGTTTACAATGCAAAGGTAATTTATTACTATCCGTATGATGCAGTGCATGAATCAAAATGCACTCGCACACATATGCCTGCCATTTGTTAATATTATTTAATATCATTTGTGCTAAAATATGTATATCATTAATTTGATATAAATATTCTAATATTTGTGAATTTAACGTATTTTCTTTTTCTGATGTTAAACAACTTAAAACTTTATCTTTAAAGTGTCGTACTTCGAAAGTTTTAACAATATTATTATCCGATAGAGAATCTATAACGTTCAAACAGTCTTCCCATTTTTTATTTTTCCATGCTTCCTTAAACCAATTCCACAATTTGTTTGCTGGTACTGTTTCATGGATACCGGTATATGTTTCATTTTCATTGAAAAAACATTTCAATTGATTTATCCAAGAGGAATTCAAAAAATTCTCCAAACAGGCAATACGCCGTAGATTATTGCAATTTTTATCTAAAATAGTTGGACGTTTGTTTTGCATTTTCTGTACTAGATAAGAAAGAATCCAGCTATGACCATCTAAATATTGTAACAAATTATCCTTAATCAATAACTTTTCACGAATGAATACTTCCTCATTATCATCATTTTGACAATTTTGTATAGAAAGTTGTGAACTCTCTGTATATTTCAATAATATTTCATAAGAGTAATGAGCAGATTTATATTCTATTACCACATCTTCATTTTCAAATTGAAAATAATCATTTATAGAAAATATATTTTCTTTCAAACTATTTGCATTCTCATTTTGCTTATCCAAAGACAATAAATTCTGATATTGTTCTACAAGATTTGGTAATATTATTTTCGTTTTCTCATGTAACTTCTTAAAATCGTCATTATGATAATTCTTTTGTAAATAATAATCTAAATATTCCTTTGCAGCAACATTCAAATTTTTGCTCAATGTGGTTGATTCAAAAACCTGTAATATTATGAATTAAATAAATGTAGAAAAAATAATTTATCGAGTTAAAATAAAAAGGAAATACTTACACGTATTTGTGGTGTTTCATTATATTCATTAGCCATAGCAAAAATAACTCTTGGATCGTGTACTAAGTCTAAATCTTGCCATGCTGGCTCATTAAGTTCTATAATTGGTGATAATGTTATTTCATTTAATGAGAGACCACTAAGTAACTTCGAACGAAGAGTATAAAGCGTTACAAAACCAAGATCACCAATTACATAGCCAATTGACATCAAGGAAACTGTATGCTTCAAAGTATTAAAAGGAGAATTGTTAGCCCAAATAACGAGCATTGCATGTATGAACATAACATTCCAAGTATTTAAGAAAAATGTTAATGTCTCATCTCCAACTGATAATTCGCTAAGATCCAACATTGCAAGATGTGATGTTTTCTTCAATATAGTTTGAATATTGACATGTTTTGAAAGATCATTCAAACATGTGTAAGATAAATTAGATTTCATTGAATTTAAAGTGTATAATGCTTGTAAAAGTTCCATCAGTATCTCTGAAATGCATTGATTGGGACTACTTGATACATAACTTTTTGAATCCTGTTAAAGATACAATTGAAAAGAGCATAAATAAAATTTAATAATAATAATAATCTTAGATATTTTTATATTTTTCATACTTACGGATATATCAACATTTCCATTTAATATTATACATCCAAAATTAGTATTGTCGTTCTCAGATTTGTTATTATGATAATATGGAAATATTGGGCAAGTGCTTATAAGAATGTTGTACACTAAATCTACTTTTAATTTTCTAGCAATTTGCTCAAGATTTTCAGGTTCAACATTTTTATTAAAAAGATGATAACTAAAATATCTATGAAGAGGTATATTTAACAATCTAGTTGCAGTTAACAATTCTGTATTATCTAAAATAAAAAGAAGATGATTAAATTGATATTATAAAAAAAAAAAAAAAAAAAAAAAAAAAAAAAAAAAAAAAAAAAAAAAAAAAAAAAAAGAATTATTTGTACCTGTATTAATTGGAGCGATTGCTTTTAAATGTTGTAAATGGAATTGTAAATTTTTTAAATAATTTTTATTATTATTGCAACTTGTAATTATTTTCTGTATTATTTTTAATTCTTTAAATTCAATACTGTTCTTAGCATGCTCGTCATCGACTATTTGTTTTTGCGATTTTTTAAATTCATTGTATTCAGTCATAATATTTGTCCATAATTCATTCTTTTCTTTCCACTCTTCAACAGACAATGGTATTGTAACATCAGATAATAAATTTGTCACAGGTATATCCTTCTTATTCTCATGTAATAATTGAAAAACTTGATAAAACAAACGACTATGTTCAGTATTATTCAATGATTTGCATAATGTGACATATTTCATAGCAACATCACAAAGACTCTGTGAAATAGGATAGGTATTGCCCATAGTCAAAGCTAAATCCAATACACTTAATGTTAATATCTTGTTGTTATTAAGATTTGGTTTTAACATTCTCATGTGTGTTTCTTGGGAGGCTATAAACGTTTCAAGTTGATTGGTATATCTGGAGGAATGCATAGCTTCTTCTGCAACTAATCTTATGGTCTGTAAAAATGATTACAAAATTATACAATAATTAAAATATCCATTTTGTAAACAAAAATTTAATAGTTATAAAATAATTGAAATATAGTTCAATTAAAAAAAATTAATCATAATAATCTTCACGTTACCTCCAACGTAGAAGATTTGATATTTCTTTTTGATGTATTTCCTATTATCGAAGGACATATCAAATTAAATATTTCTTGTTTAAAATGTTTTAGTGCTTGTGAAAATCGAATTTCACCATAAAGTGCAGTATTTTCCATATTGAACATCTGTCAAAAAAACAATAAAGTTAGCATTAATGTCAAAATGTTGATTAATAACTTTATTAAATAAAGACACATGGAAAGAGCGTTTATCTATATAGGAATAATAAGTTGTTATATTTTCAATAACTTAGCTTTTGGTGTTAAGTATCAATTTGTAACAATAGTATAATATAATAAATGATTTAAGAGATATTATTAATTACTATTATTATTATTATTATTATTATTATTATTATTATTATTATTATTATTATTATTATTCTTTATAATCGTATTACATATTACAGAAAAATTCAAAAGATGAGGAAATATTTGAAATAAGTTCATATGATAAGTATTATGATGATATAAATGAAAATGAAATAATCAAAGTTGCCGATTTCTTTAATCCGCAAGTATTAAAAAAAGATGAGGATAAATACAAACCCCTACATTCTTATGTAAAGCAATATAATCAACGTGTCGCTAAAAACAAAATACAGATACCTGATATATTTCCTTATTCTCAATCGAACAAAGAACAAATATTAAATCTACTCCAGGAGGAAGAACCACATATTGCTGGATTTAAAAATGAAATAAATAAAGTATAAATATTTGTTTTTTAAATGTAATATTCTAGATGTAAAAGATGCAATACAATATACAAAGAATTGTTATATTATTTACTAGTATTATTCGGAAATTTCAACAAGAAAGAACATAAAATTGTTATCAAGAAGAAGAAATGCTTTCAATAATATGAAACTAAAACGTACTTCAACACCGTCATTTAGTAAGCAAATTTATAATAGTTAAATTAAAATTATCATTTCCAGTATTGAAGACAAACCCATATATTTATAGAATTATTTACAAATGTATAGAAAATAAAAAAGTCTCCAGGGATAAACATAATGAACCAAGTTATGATAATATACCTGAAAATTATAGAAAATTTAATTTACTACAGAACCCTGTAAGGAAAAATTATAATATTCTTAAGATAAAAATAGAATATAAAATAAATTGTATTATTTGGATAGAATCATCAAGAAGAAGATTTGTCACCTTTGTTAAGTATAAGTATAGAAGAAATTAATAAATATATAGATTTAAGTACGACTATTGAAGATACAATGGAGCCTACAGATGAAAACGATTACGACTATGAAGCTTTTAAAATGGATTATGAACAACAATATAAAAAAGATAAAAAAATAAGCGATAAATTACAATACACTCATACAGAAGAACAAGTGATAAAAGAACATATTTCCAAGAAACCATTTGAAAAAGTTACAGATACTACAAAAAATTGTACAAAGAAAGATATGGATTATTTTGGTTTTAAAGCTATAAAATGTTTAATTTACAACTACCAACATGTAAAAGACACAACAGAAGCAAAAAAAACATTATCAAAAATGTGGCTAATTATTAAAGTATGGCTGTGCATTTATGTGTGTATCGCAATTCCATGTTGGTGCCAAAGAGGAAGTTATTTATTTTATATATACCAAATTATTTTTAATTATATGCCACGAGAATAAATAAACAACTAATATTTTATACTTTTTTCTTTTCTTTTTTTTTTTTTTTCTTTTTTTTTTTTTATATATAACAGGATGGTGTTGTTGTTGGTTTCGTTGTAAACTTTTCTTTCCCAGAAAAAGAATAATGTTTGTAAAACAATATTATATGCGAAATCCTCCAGGTATTTTAATACCAAAACTTTCTAAAAAGAAACCGATTAAATACGAACCGTCTGAATATGAACAAGACATGTATGAAAAACTTGAAGCTGCAATAAGAAATATATAATACAAATAACTACAATTGCAAGCATATTGTATAATGCATATAATAATGTATAAAAATTTTATGAAATAAGTAGTAATGTTAGTTTAAATGAATAAATAAATAAATATAAAAATACCTCTATAACTTCTTGCGCTTTCTCATAATCATTTTTCCACAAACATTGGATAACCAAACTTTCTTTCGATGACAACATTAAATTAATAAGAAATATTGGCTGATCTGCATCTTTTACAATTAAATTATCTGAAATAGTTATATTTTTTAATTGATTCCATTCGTTAATATTATCATCAACAATTTCCACTTCTGAGCTACTATCAGTTTTTATTTTTGTATCATCCGAATCACTACTATGATTTCGATAAAAAACAATATCATTGAATCTCTCTTGAGGATATATTATATTTTCCTTTAATAAAGTACCAGAATTAGTTTCAATTGTAAAGTTATCAGGCAGCCCTACGTTTTTGATAAAATAAGAATTTGTATGAAGATCCAATCTCCATTTTGCATCAGCTAATAATTTTACTAAATTAGATATCTTTGGACTTAATTTATTTAATTCTTCTGCATATGTTGCATCATATTTGAGTTTTCTCATTTCAATCTCTGTAGCTGTAATACTATTTTTTAAGTAATATAATATTTCTCTAACAGCATATTTATTACAAATAAAATTCATATTATTGTATTTCATTGATTTATGAATAATTGTTTGCTTTTCATTTAGGACAATGTTATGATCTTGTGATTTATTATCACTATGACAGAAGTCATCATAGCTTAAGAAAAGCAAAGAAAATATATTTTCCATTGTCTCCAATCTCAAAGAAAATGGCAATAAAGTACATAAATAAGATTCCATGTCGAGTAAATATTTTGTGATATTCTGATATTTTGCACTATAAGTTTTACAAAGTAAAATTACTTTTAATGCATTTACCATACTACAATAAGCTTGAAAAATATTTTCAGGTTCTCCGGTGCCTTGTAATAGTTCTTTAATTCGATCATGATCTATTTCATGTATATTTGTAGCTTCTTTCAATAAAAAAAGTACTGTACAATTTTCCAGAAGATACAACATACGTTTTAATGGTATTGCGTTTACAATACATACTGATTCTATACCATCTTGACTTTCTTTTATAACTTCTGAATTTTTTAGATTCAGAATCCAATTTATAATTTCGGTATATGTCTTTAACGTGGTATCTAATTTGTGAAAAGTATGATCAGTAAAAATCTTGAGATTACAATTTTGTAATAGAAATTTCAGGACTTCATATACAATCGTATTGTCTGTCCAATTTTGTAAATCGTCAGTATCTCCTTCCGAACAGTGATGTAAAAATTTTAACAATAATATTATCCAAAAGTGTTTTAAAGGAGGATAGGATAATATCATTGAAACTTCATTATAATTGCCAGTTATTAAGAATGTATAACAAATATTCTGAAAAAGAAGACAAAAAGAAAGAAAATAATATTATTTTGACACTGACAATATTGTTTAATTAATTTTAATTACAACTATTATGATTTAAACTTACTAATATATCTGTTAACCAATGTGATTTTTGTGTTATTATTCTTCTAAGTATTTCCATTTCATTTAACACCATAATATTGTCATTATTCTTATATTTAAATATGGCATTGCATATTCTAATTGCATCTTCCATAATAGTACCAGACTTGGAGTATCCATATAATTCATTCATATTTAAGTTCCACTCATCGATAAATGTCGTATCCTTTCTAGAGTATAATGCCAATTCTATATCTTTAATATTATCTGTCTTTAAGGTTATTGGACATAACCATTTTAAAAATTCAGTCTTTTTAGATTCAGTCAAAATCATCTTCGATAAAATACATAAGAATATTTCTAAATATTCATTATTAAGTATTATTTTATTTTGAATGAATGATGAAGCATCATCTTTCTCATTTACATGAGAATTTTCATTAGGTATCATAAGTTCCATAATTTCTTTTAATGCAGTCAAGTAGAAATCTAATAATCCATTAGGAAAAATAGAAATACTAAATGAATATAAACAGCACATATTAATAATGTGACATGCTATTATAGGGTTTTTTATTAAATATGCTTTTAAAAAAGATAAAGTCGATTGAGAAAAATCATTAACGATTTGTGGTGATGCAGCTTTAATATTTACATCGGAACAATATAACAGCAACTCCTGTTGTAAAATATAGAATTGTAAATAATATATAATGTGTAATTTCAAATATATAATTATTATATGAGATAGACGAACCTCTATTACATTTTGAGATATATCGTCCATCAAATCCACAGCAATTTGAAAATCTATGCTATTAAAGTCCATTGAAATATTTTTATTGTGGCAACATTTATCAGGGAAAAGTTTGTATAATAACAAATATTCAATCCATCGAAAGTTATTTTCCTTTTTCATGTCACTAAAATAATATCAATGATTAATATCTTATATTATTTATTTCTATCTTAATACTTACATATCAATTTTAATTATAGATTTAAAATCTATATTATGAATCATATCTGTACTTTGTTCAGAACAAATATTGTGATGATGATAGGTTCGATATATTTCATATGCTGTGTACCATAATTTGGATGAAATACACTTATGTATCTCAAAGACTTCCATTTCTTTTGACATTTTTCTGATGATAAATTTTACACTTTTCTTGATATAATCACTTTTCCTTTTAACACTTTTAAAACTTCATTATAGGTTATGAAATTTACACTTTAATAGCGAAAATCTACGTCAAAACTGTTCACAATATTTAAACGACTTCAACGACAGATATGGTCAAGATATATTATACCAACAGAACTGTTTATAAATATAATTGTTCTCGATAGATGGCACCATTGGTAATCTGTCTATGACGTCATCTTAATTGACGTTCTTTTGTTATCGACCATTCATAAAATGTCCCTGTTTTTATAATGGTTTACGCCATCAGAACAGCCGTAATTTTAAATCAATTTTGATGAACAAGATCTCATTTTAAAGACGAAGATTTAATCTAGAATATATATTTTTTGAATTTTTAGTAAAAACTTTATTTTCTTTGAAAAAAAAGTACTAAAACTTTACATTGCCAATTATACTTCTAAAGGCAAATATATAGAAGATTTAATTAAATTTAAAGATAATTTCTTTAAATCCGCAAATTTATATATGAATTATTTAATTATTTAATTATATTTATATATAATTAAAAAATATAATATATCGACGTCGTATTTAAAAAATGGATCACTGGAAGAAAATATCATAGTTCATATTTTGTCCATATGTGTCGCTGAAGTCATACACGTTTTGAACAAAATTTAATGAACAGCTTGAATATTAACATATAAGATTTAAAACTTACGAAATATCATATATTTCATTTTTTAAAACTTGCCTATAATATTCTCTGGTGTTTTTATATTTTTAACGTGTAAGTTATTCAAAATATGCAATAATTTTTTGAAATATATTAGAACGAATTCTAACCTAACCTTACATTAAGTACATGCTTTTTTTTTAGTTATTCTAAATCATGGCACCTAGAAATATCAATTCTTTAAAGAATAAAGATATTTATAAACAAAATAGACGAAAGAAAAGAGCAAGAATAATAATAAGAAATTTACCATTTCAAGTAAGTTTTGTTATAGTATTAAACTTGTAAAATGTAACGACATTGTTTTCTAATGTTTTTTGTCTTTTATCTCTGTAGATCACGGAGAATAATTTAAAAGAATATTTTGATCAGTATGGAAAAATCGAAGAAGTAAAATTATTAATTAAAGCTGATGGAAAACCTATTGGATGTGGATTCATTCAATTCGATCACGTGCAGAGTGCGGCAAAAGCAATACATTATGCAAACTTGAAGCCAATTCAAGGTAGATCTATTGTTGTCGATTGGGCAATACCTAAACATAAATTTAATAAAAATACAACAGAAGATATTAAAGACGTAAATAATGTTGATATTAACATTAAGAAAGGATCAGATGATTGTGACAATGATGATAAATCAATAATAGAACCTATTGAAGAAATGAACTTATCAAATAATTCGATTGAAAGTATGGATGCGTAAGTAATAGTTAACACTTATATAAATGAATGCAAATATGTTACTAAATGGAAAAATGTATTACAAATTATTCATTCAAATTTATAGCTCGGATAAAGAAGATGAAGAGGATATGGAAGATTCATCAGAGGAGGAAAAACAAGATGTAAAGGATGAGGAAATAACAGAAGAATTCTTGGATGAAAAAGTAAATGATGAAGATGAAAAAATGACAAAGAATACAAAATGCGTATCTAATGACGTTCACGAAGGAAAAACTGTATTTTTAAAAAATGTACCATTTTCTGTGAAAAATGAAGAACTTAAAAAGTATATGGAACAGTTTGGACCAGTCTATTATGCTCTTATTTGTATAGACTCTTTAACAGAACATTCCAAAGGAACGGCTTTTGTTAAATTCAAGGTAATAGTTTTGTATGTATTATAATTAATTAATTATTAATAACATAATAGATCCATAAAATTTTTGATTAATTTTCAGAATATAGAAGATGCTGAAAAATGCTTATCAGCTGGAACAGAATTACGTTTACGTGATGCTATTCTAGAAGCACATAGAGCTCTTCATAAAAATGATATTACGAATAAAAATAATTTGAAACGTCAAAAAGAGAAAGATTCAAGGAATTTATATCTTATAAAAGAAGGAGGTACATAGATATATAGATATTATATATATAATGAAAAAAATCTAAAAAAGAATCTAATAATGGTGTTGTAAAAATTAATTAAAAATATTTTCAGTAATAATCGCTGGAAGTCCAGCTGCAGTAGGCGTATCAGTTACAGATATGGCAAAACGATTACAACTTGAACGTTGGAAATCTCAAATATTGCGTAATTTGAACATGTTTGTTTCAAGGGTGCGCCTAGTTGTTCAAAATTTACCAGCATCATTAGATGATGTTAAACTTAGGCTAATTTTTAAAAAGTATGGTGGTTCTAAGGCAATTATTAAAGAGGTATATATGTATACATTTAAATTTATATATTTTAATAAATAAGAATCCACATAAGCACATAGAATATTTATATATATATATATATGTATATTTATAGGCAAGAATTATGCGTGATTTAAAAAATATAGACTCAAAGGGTGTAGGAAAGTCTAAAGAATATGGATTCGTAACATTTACCAAACACGAAGATGCTCTTAAAGCTTTACGAGCTATAAATAATAATCCAAATATTTTTACTCCTCACAAGGTAAACTTCAATTGTATTATCTTGATTAAAATAAAAATCTCTTGTTATATTTAATAATATGATTTTTATTAGAGGCCAATAGTTGCCTTTTCCATTGAAAATCGTATCATGGTGAATGCCAAACAAAGAAGAATTCAAAAGAGTCAAGCACGAAATCCTCTTTATTCAGGGAATAAAGATCAGGGGCAAAATAAATATAACAATAAAGAGCATTCAATGGAAGAAACAAAAGTCGTAGCCAAGAACGAATTGGCGAATGACAAAAAATCATTCTCAGGCATTAAAAGTAAGCCTGGAGAAACAAAGATTAGATCAAAATTCAACTTGAAAAATCAAAGTATCCTGCATAGTAAAGTAATAAAAAAAGAGAAAAAGGCAGTGAAACACGATCACAGTAGAAAAACAAAACTAGAAAGGGCAAAGAAAGAGTTGAAGGTAAGGATCCATCATACTTGTATTTTTGTTTTTACTGTGACGATATATGCAGAGTATTTTTATCTTTCCTCTCTTTTTTTTTTTCTTTAGACCAAGCAAATTGCCAAGAGGGGCAACGCGGAAGATGCAAACTTCAATAAACTCGTAAACAGTTATAAAAGTAAATTATTAGCATTAGGACCAACCAGATCAAAATGGTACGATACTTCATAAAAAAAAAAAATAAATAAAAAAAAATAGATAAAAAAATTAAGAAAAATTTACATTTTTTTAAAAATCATGTTTAACTAAATAATTAATAAACGTTGATGAAATAAACATTGTACATTTTAATAAATAACTTGTATCATACGATAAATATATATCATTGGCCTAAACAATTTATTTGTTTAATAAAGCTTTTTTTTTTATGGAAACTATATATTTTTTGTTAGCAATTTATATGTTTATTTTTTTATTATTTTATATATATATATAGTTTCTACTAAAAAAAATCATAAATGACCTTGAATTTCCCCTAACCCCCCACCCATTCATAATTCATAATTCATAAATGTAACATTTTATTAATTCGATGCATGAAAATGAATACATCCTGTGCACTAAAAATGTTTCGCGAAACAATCAACATAATCCCCCACCACTATTTGATTCTCCTACTTTGTCGGCTTGTGTATTTTATCCGCGATAGACTCAAGAGAATTCTAATTCTATAGGACTTACTGCGAACTCAATTGCATTTGCTTCAGTGTTACGACTTTCTGCTTTTACTTTTTTTTTTTTTTTTTTTTTTCCATTAAATTGTTATCGCAAAAAAAAGAAAGGAAAAAAGAAGTAGAAAAGAAAGATAAACGATGTGTCGAGTGTGTTCATAAAAAAAAAAAAAAAAAGAGAAGAAAACAATTAACGAGGAATATATTAATATTAATTAATTTTTTAAAAGATGATAACTACGCTAAGGTGAGTATAAAAGTATATATACTTTAAAAACATTCAAACAATTGGCGATATTAATATCATAGTTTTCTACGTTCTAGATCTCATAAAAGCAATTACTATTATATTTATGGCTTCTTAATTGATAGAAAACATATACTTACGAATGTAACAATAGTTCTGTGTATTTATATATATATATATATATATATATATATATATCATTTGAAAAAATTTTCACAATGCACTAAAAAGTAATTCACTTTCTCTTTAATTTTTTTTTTTTTCGTTTAAATTGATGTATTTCTATTTCAAGGATATAAATTTTTTTTTTCCGTTAATAAATTTTCGATTATCGAATCTCGATATGTCGATCGAACGTAATTTTTCTTTTATCGTTTTAATGTTGTCAGTAAGGCGCGAAAATACAAATATATATATATATATACAATTTTTTTCTTCAACAATCCTTCGAATGTATTAGAGGTAACATTAAATCTTTCATTGATTTTTAGAATATACATTTCGTCGAGATCTTCTTCTATCACTTTTTTAAGATTTTCGAAAGATAATAAAAACGACAGACGCATTATTAATAGAACTTTAGAAACTTTGACAGCTGCAGTTGATAAACACGAATTATCGTCGAATTGTCGTGCGTACGAGGAAATACCCGGACCAAAACCAATTCCCATTTTGGGAAATACATGGCGTTTTATTCCTTACATAGGTAAATATTTTTTTTTCATTTTATATATATATACATATTTTTTTTTTATATTTCTTTTATCAAGTACGAAAGACAATTTTTTTTTTTACCTCGTATTTTCTTCGAGTAAAGTTTTAATCTTTATATTTGGATTACGTTGTAAATTAACTAATTTCACAGGTGATTTTAAAATACAATCGGTAGACAAGGTATCGAAAAGATTATACGAACGTTACGGTGACATAGTTAAAATTGAAAATTTACTTGGCAGACCTGACATGGTTTTCGTTTACGATGCCAACGAGATAGAACGAATTTTTCGTCAAGAGGATAAAATGCCCCATCGACCGTCCATGCCTTCTCTTAATTATTATAAACACGTTTTAAGAAAACAATTTTTCAAAGATGATGCTGGCATTATCGCCGTGTAAGTGATTATTTAATTATTTATATTTTCTTAATAAACTAAATTAAAATACTTTGATACAAAAAAAATTGAAACTTCTTTGAAATAGATTTGTAAAAATTATCATCAATTTCAAATTAATATTTACATTTTCTTTTTGTTTAACGATCGTCGATCATTAAAATTAATTTCTTTGACAAAATTCAATTGGCGCGAATTAATCAAATTCAAACGACAAATCGTATTTCAATTTTCTTATGGCAGCCAACGTAAGAAAGATAAAACATAACCAACATGATAAACTATTTAATATTTAGAAAGTATATATCACTTTTCATATCCGTAAATAGCGGTACGGTATAATTTAAATTTGAATAGTAGTAGTAGTAATATGTCACAAGAGAGTTTGCATTACGATCTAACTCGAAATATAATAATATCTTTTTAAATGATATTTTGTAATTATAGATTACTTGTTTTACATAACGATCAAACGTTAGAATGCACGCGCGAAATTATTTAAATTCAAAAAAAAAAAAAAAAAAAAAAAAAAAAAAAAAAAAAAAAAAAAAAAAAAAAAAAAGTGTTTTATGATTTATAAAACTTTATCGTTATATGATATATTTATGATTTGTACATATTTATGTATTAAAGTTGATTTATTAAATAATTTATAATTAAATCAACTTAATTCAAGTTTTTATCGTTTGATTTCTGTTGTCAGTCACGGAGAGAGTTGGTACAACTTCCGTAGTAAAGTGCAACAAGTAATGTTGCAACCACGAACGGCAAAAATGTACGTCGGTTCAATCGAGGAAGCTAGTCGGTCATTCCTATTAAGGTTTAAGTATTACTCTGAATGCAAGCCTTTCCCTTTTCTAATCATTTCTTTTCTCCCTTTCTCTTTTCTCTTTTCACTCTTTTCCTTTTATTCTTTTAATCCTCTCATCCATCATCTCGGATTTTTTTTAAATTTCACATGATTTTATTTAATTCATTCTGATATTATTTTGTAGAATAGAAAGTATTAAGAATATAAATGACGAAGTACCCGATGATTTTCTAAATGAAATACATAAATGGTCGCTCGAGTGTAAGTATTTACTTTTATTTTTTTTTTTTCTTTTTGTTATCTAAAAAAAAGATTTAGAAAATGTAGAACATAAAAAGAGGAATAATAATAATAATAATAGTATTGTTATATTAATTATAAAGATGATCGATACTTTTTTTTTATACTACCATATTATTATACTTAATAAATATTTTTTTCTTTTTTTTTTAATTAACAGCTATCGCTAGAGTCGCATTAGATGTTCGTTTAGGTTGCTTAGAAAACAATGCAAATGTCGAAACACAGGAATTAATAAACGCAGTCACTACATTTTTCAAAAATGTTGGCATTCTGGAACTGAAAATACCTTTTTGGAGGATCTTTAATACACCTACATGGAAAAAATATGTTAATGCACTTGATACTATTGTACGGTTTGTATTGAAAAGAAAGAATATAGAAAATGAGAATGTAATAATTTAATTCATTTACAAGTATGATTAGATCAATGTATATATATATATTAGAATTACATCAAAATACACGGATACTGCATTGTTGAATTGGAAGAATACATCAAATTTTAATAAAGAATTATCTTTATTGGAAAGAGTATTGGCTTTAGAGGGAAACTCAAAATTGGCTACCATTTTAGCACTTGATTTATTTTTGGTTGGGATCGATACTGTAAGCGTACAATAATATTAATAATTAAAAGGCGTCATTAGTCTTTTTTTTTTATTTTAACATTTCTGAGATTATTGTTTTTAAAAAATAGACTTCGAGTGCTGTGGGATCAGTGCTGTATCAATTGGCAATAAATCAGGAAAAACAAGAAATTGCTTATAAAGAAATATCCAATGTATTTCCATCAAGAGATAGACCAATAGAGGCAGTGCATTTGGAAAATTTAAAATATTTGAAAGCTTGCATAAAAGAAACCTTGAGGTTTGTATTTTATATATCATTTGATTTGATTTGATCATTATGAGATAAATATTATATTGAATTTATTTTTAATTAGAATGTATCCCGTTGTTATTGGAAATGGACGATGTATGACTAAAGATACAATAATCAGTGGTTATCGTATACCTAAAGGAGTAAGAAAATCTTTTTTATAATTATTGTATAGTAACAATTTTTAGTTATTTTTGATTATTAATTATATATATATATATATATATATATATATATATATATATATATATATATATATATGTCTGTGTGTGTATGTGTTTAGGTGCAAGTTATTTTTCAACATTACGTTATAAGCAATTTAGACAAATATTTCCCACGAAGCAATGAATTTTTTCCTGAGAGATGGTTACAAGATGATGGTGTAAGACATGCATTTGCGTCACTTCCTTTTGGTTATGGTAAACGTATGTGCCTAGGACGACGATTTGCTGATTTGGAAATGATTATTGTAATCAGTAAGGTAAGTTGTAGAAACAAAAGAGTATTTGTTCTTTGTTTACATTGTATAAAGTATTACTTTCTTTATTTATTTAAGTAAATAAAAAATATCTAGAAGTAAAATGTTCTAAATTACTATAAATTTGAAGTCTTTAATTTGTATGTATTTTATGGATGGATGTGCGTGTGTTTATGTGTTTTCTTTTTCTCATAATGAAAAAGACAAGATGTAATATTTCTACGTTACTTTGTAGTAACCGAAAGAGAAACTTACTATACGAATAAAGGTAATTTTATTATGATACGCTTCATGGTCACGAGATAATCGTAGTAGTTAACTGTCTGACGGTTACGCTGAATGAGCTCGGACAATAACTGATTCCTGACTATTTCATTCTTTCCTCTTTCGGTAGAATATTTTATAAGTATAATTAAAACGTTCCAATTATAATGTATATAAAACGTTCCAATTGTAATATGTATAAAATATTCCATTTGTATTTTGCATCTAATGATAATATTTTGTCAAAGTAAATTAATCAAAGATCAATATGTTAGATAATTAAAGGGAGTAATATTTATAATAATAACAATGTAAAAGTATATTAACAATTTTTTCATTTCAGATCTTGCAATATTACAAAATAGAATATCATCATAAAAAATTAGATTATTATATTGACCCAATGTATACACCTAAAGGACCATTGAAATTAAAATTTATTAATAGATGAATCTATTTATTTATATGTCCGCAATTTATATTTGATAATGTAAAGAAAATTAAAATGAACAATTCAGTTTTCAAAAGATGCACCTAGCGATAGGCAATACTTGATGCATGGATGTATGAAAAATATTTTGACATGCATATAACAGGCCTTCAATTCTATCTATCGGTAGAACGTACAAACTAATTATTGACACAATTAAATGATTATCAATATGTTCATTTTTATAAATTTTTATTGTCATGAAATCTCATATTTCATAATGACAAAGTAAAAAAGATTTTAGCACATAATGCTTAAGCAATTTTATGTGTGTCACACTGGTAATTTTATTTATATATACATACATTATAATAAATACATTAAAAACAAATATGTCTCATATACGAACTGTCCCAGATATTTTGATACTTATAACAATTAATCACAGAATTGTATAAATCATAACAACACTTGTTTATCAAGCACAATCAATATTAAATTGACAAGCATGTGCGTATAACTGAAGGAAACATACTATTTACTAAATAAATTACAGAGTACGTCTATTACAGAGTACATCTTTTAAAAATATCCTTTACAGAGGATATCTTTTATCTATAAAAATTATTTATTTATTTATAAGAAAAGATACGGACCTAATTATGAAACTTTGTTCATAATATTGTTAATGTTTTGAATTAAAAAGTATAAAGTATCATGGAACAAACTCAAGAAAAAAAAAAAAAATGCATTAATTTAAAATCTTTAAAGAATCGATATGATAAAGTCATCACTTATTTTATCGAGACTTATTTTCCCATCTATTGATTACATAAATATTATTTCATTTAATTTGCAAATTAACATATCTCATTTTCATTTGCGATTTATAATAATTTTATAATGTCCAATATTTATTTGTCCATTTTTTAATCACTTTTTTCTGATTTAACTTCATCTTTTGAAATTTCCTTTCTGCGATCAGATTTATTCGTAAATACTCCAGGAAGATGATCCTTTACCTGTTCCCTTAATTTTTGTGGAATAACCATAATAGTTGTTATGACATTTCCTAAGAATAATATCAAAAACATAGCACTAAGAACTGACACATGCCAAGTAGCTTCTGAATGAGATATTAACATGAATAATGTATACGCGTTATAAAGTTGGAAAAAGTATCCAACGAATAGAAACGGAAGGAGAAATGATAATCCTCGCCACATCCAAGAATGAAAACCTTCGATAGTAATATCCATATTATGTCTTTCCCCTAATGCTTTTAAACGATAAAGAACACCATGCTGATAACGAAATTGTAGATATTGTACTATACCTAAAAAATTTTTAATATTTATAATGCTTAGAAATGCACAAATCGGTTGTAAAAAAAGAAAAAAAAAAGAAAGGATCAAAAAGAAAAAGAAAAAAAAAAAAAAGAAAAAGAAAAAAAATCAAAAACATGTCATTACAAAGGATAGAAAACTTACTAATATATACATTGAACCAGATAAATTGACCTCGAAATGCATACCAAGCACCTGTATTTGGCCAGACTAATAAAACTGCGGATACTACGGTAGAGAGAAAGTGGTGAAACCGCCACCAACCTTTAATTCTTGATCCATTTACTTTAAGAATACTTTCTCTTATTGTTAATGTGCAATAATACCAGACTAGAAGAAACATTAGACTCAGTTCCAAAGTCCTAAAACACAAAAATTTTATAATATTAAAATATTATATACAAAAGAAAAAAAAAAATAAATAAATAACGAAAAGACAATTAATTAATTCAATATATCTTACCTTACATTAGTGAACAGATTTAAAACAGATAGGACAAAACCAATTGCGGATAATATTAATTTAAATTTTTCATATTCATCTTTGTATTTAAATCTGAAAGAAAAACAAACAAAAAATTGAATCATCTGTTATTGATTATAACAACTAAATATTAATATAATATATTCTATTTTCTTATTAAATAAAAATAATTAAAGGTCATTGATTTATTAATGAAGGAATTATATCCTTATATCATTAGATTCTTCTTCTTTTTTTTTGTTCTTTATCATTCATTAATTTATCAAAACCTTCATCTTTATTCATAACCACTTTATTCTGAAGGAAAATATATCTTATAAATTTGTCTATTTATCAATGGAAAAGTCTTTCTGATTAATGGATTAATAATGGGTTAAAATTATAAAAGCTTACTTATCATTTTTATTCAGTATAGAAACATTAACACTGCCTAGTATAATTTGAAGATAGACACCATTTGGTTTTGGTAAAGTCTGTTCCATTTCATGCAATTGCAACTCTCTTCTTATCATATCTTTATCTAACGTCATTCTTGTATTCCTCGCCTGAAGCCTAAATAATTTATTTTTAAATAAAAGACATGAGATATATACATATATATATATATATATAAAGAAGATATTGTTATCAGAAACTTACTGTTTGAGAGATTTTGAAATAATACCCATTCTGTATCTTTGATGAGATATCCCTTTGACACATTTTGCTTGTAATTCTCTAACTTCTTCTAATTTAGCAAGGTATTCCCTATTTAATGCCTATAACATCAATTGTATTGATTGACGCTAAAACATTGGTCGTTGACATTTTTAACAATTAGTATCATAACAATTAAAGTATCATACAACATAGGAAATAAATATTAATTGTATAATTAAGTCGTAATTGATCATGGTTACAAAAAAAAAAAAAAATAAATAAAAAATAAAAAAATATTGGTTCTTAACAAAGAAAAAAAAAGAAGGATATGAAAAAAAAGGCTGGAAAGATCGATCAGTTCAAAGTTCACATGTTGGTTGCAACATTATTAATGATTATTTAATTTGGTCTTTCATATAATTCGTCAAAGAAATAAACAACTTAACCTCTCTCAATAACGAGTAATAATGCTCGATGAAAAAGAATGAATATAAAAAACATACCTACACGCACACACGTACATACTCACACATACGTATATATATATGTATATATATATATATATATATATATATATATTCCCAAAAAAATTACAATTACAATTCTTTTACCTCCAACTCCTTGTAATCTCGTGCTAAATCGTTCCAATCTTCTAAACAAGATTCAACATTGGTGTCCATTATCTCGGAATAACTTTGATAATCTATTTCGTATATACTAGAAGTATATTAAATAAAATTCTATGAAAAAATTTAAATGATTATAATAGAAATTGTTTCCTCGTGTACAATCGTTTCGGAACTGATTACTGAATACTTTCATGTGTCGCTATCGTTCTACGATATCGGGTATATTATGTGTGTCGCGATCAATGGATAATAAATAATAAATTCTCATTGAATCAAAATAGAAGAAAAAAATAATTCTAAAAGACTATAATCTATTTGAATTATACTATTATTATGAGTCATATATTTCCTTCCTCGATTTATTACTTCTCTCGTAATTAAAAAATCAGTGAAAAATTTTCGTGGTATATAAAAATTTTTAGGGCACCGGACACACCTTGCTACGACATTGCTCGCGCGTAAATTTTTACATTTGTCCAACAGATGGCGTCACCTTCTTATCTAAATAAGAAAAATAATTTCATCCGGAAAAGATTTCAAGCGCCATCTTGCGATACTCAAGAAATTTAAAATGTATTTTTTGAAGATATACATATACAACACAGATTCGTTCAAAATTTTTTATCATAATGAGTGTCACAATGTTTGATGAATAATTATAATTTATTAAAACTGATCTCATATATTTTTTTTTCTTTTCATTTTTTCAATCGATTATTGTCTCTATTTGTTATTATAATGTTATAAGATAATTTCAATAATTAATAGCCAACATGCAAGGTTATACGATACAAGAAGTATTATATATATATATATATATATATATATATTTATACAGGGACAGTTTAAAAAGCGTAGATTTTTCAATGGTCCTTGACCAAGCACGTTCCACCACGATTTCGAATGAAAAAAAGATGATTTGCATTAAGCGACTACTACTCTTCTTCTTTATATTCATTCCAACGTAATAAAAGAAAAAGAAGATGGAAAGATTTGAATTTTAGATTGTAAATATTTTGCTTTTACAATTTTCATGGATCATAATATCTATATATGTATATATATAAATATAAATATATATATATATATTATAAATATATGATAATATATATATATATATACATATATGTTTGTATATATATATATACATATACAAAATAATACTTTTAATAATATACGTCATAATATATATTAATAATGTAATTTGGAAAATAAAAGTTAATTTTATTTTTATGCACTGTTGTCCATTTATCATTGAATGGATAATATTATCTGACACAACACATATATCTTATTTTATTTAATTTGATTATTGGAAGAAAAACAAACAAACAAACAAACAAAAAGAAAACAAAAAAAAAGTAAAAGAGATAGAAGAATTTAGAGTATTCATTGGTAATGTTGAATCACAGAGTTCAATGTTATTTCATTGGTAGTTGATTTTTAATCTCACCAAAATATCGTTCGAGTATCGCATAAATAAGAGAAATAGATATTCCAGATCGATTGGTACGTCTATTGCATTATTTATAGAGGATATTATCGTGTACCGTTCAAAGTCTGTGAATCCTATCAGACTTTAAAAGTAGATTTCTTCACCCTTCTTATCTATAGTATCATCATATATATATATATATATATATATATATATATACATATATACATATATATATATAGGTATAGACTTTGTTTACCGCGAGTTTCAAATTTCTTCTAAAAGAAAAACAGAAAGTGGAATATAAAAGTGAAGATGGAGGGCACAAATTTGTTTGAAAAATCTAACAAAAACTAAAACCAAATCAAATATAACTTATAACTATTTATCAATAGATTGTAATGAAAGTTTCTATACTTTAAATGATCCCCACTCTTGGAGTTTGAAGAGACTGCAAGGAGATTTAAAAATGTTCGAAACTGTTAAACTCCAAGCAGTCTCGGTCGTCGGGTTCTCGAGTTAGCGACAAACCGAGCATGAGAAAGTATCCTACGCATATACATGTATATACACCCACACCCACACACACACAAACACGTGTATATACATAAATACATACACATATATATATATATACACATAGATTAGTAAAACGTGTCTGAAAGAACGGACATAGTTGGTGAACATTTATCTATAGATTAGTGATAGCTCGTTAAACGATATTTAAATGATTAAAATTGTGAAATAACTGTAGGAAAAAATTGGCGGGAAAAATATGAAAATCTTTTCGATATAAACAGATCGTAAATGATATTTCTTCTCGCGATAACGAAAAACATAAAACAGAGAGAAAAAGAGCAAAGAGAAAGAGAGTAGGTATTCGTTCGAAAAAGTTACGACGTTTATATTTAAATACGAACGAGAGAGAGAGAGAGAGAGAGAGAGAGAGAGAGAGAGAGAGGGAGAGAGGGAGAGAGAGAGAGAGAGAGAGAGAGAGAAAGGGAGAGAAGAAAAGAAAAAAGAAATATAAATGTGCAGGACGTTCAACGACGCGTGAACGATAAGAAAGGAGAGGACGGGTGGAGTCGATCGACGATAACGACATCGACGTCGACGACGTCGTCGTCGTCATCGTCGTCGTTCTTCTTCTTCTTCTTCTTCTTCTTCTCCTCTTATTCTTCTTCTTCTTCTTCTTCTTCTTCTTCTTCTTCCTTTTCCTCTTCTTCTTCTTCTTCCTTTTCCTCTTCTTCTTCTTCTTCTTCTTCTCCTTCCCCTCATCGTCGTCGTCATCGTCGTCGTCCTCATCGTCATCGTCGTCGTCGTCGACATTAAGCGTTCGAGGTGAGGTGTCCTGTTAGCTAGCAAAATAGAAAACATAAAATTACGGTCTGAAGAGGCGTTATAAACTTGTAGAAGAAAAGTTAAGAAAGAGAGTTTGTCGATCGAATAAAAAGAATAAAAAGAATAAGAATAATAAGAAGAAGAATTCTTCGTTGTTCTTTCGTCTATGAATAAGAATAAGAAGAAGAAGAAGAAGAAGAAGAAGAAGAAGAAGAGGAAGAAGAGGAAGAAGAATAAGAAGAAGAAAAAGATAGTGGAAGGGGGTTGAGGATAAAGTAAACGGGCTTCTAGATAACGGCATAGTTCAACAACGGTATTCGATCTCGAGGCGCGAACCAAAGAAGAGAAGCTCTGATTGGTCTACGGCTTGACGCCGCTTTCCGGTCCGATTTCCGGTCTCGACATTCAGCCGCGAGCTTCTAACGCGCGCGGTTACGCACTTGTGTTCCGATTCCGTTTAATATAATTTAAGTTTATATACGAAAGAGGATAAAAGAAGAAAAAAAAAAAAGAAATAAAAGGAAAGAAAAAGACGACAGAGAAAAAGAAACAAAAAAAAAACCACACGCGCGCACACACATACACATACACGAATAACAACAACAACAACAACAACAACAACAACAACAACAACAAGAACAACAACAATTATTATTGTCTCTATTAATTCAATCAATTAATTGAATTAATTGATTGAATTGATCGAATTGAAATTAATTGGATACGTTCGATCGTGTGTATGTAATCGTTATTGAAACTAAATTAAAAGAAGAAGAAGAAGAAGAAGAAGAAGAAGAAGAAGAAGAGAAGGAGGAGGAGGAGGAGGAGGAGGTGGAGGAGGAGGAGGAGAAGGAGGAAGAAAAAGAAGATTGAAATAGGAGAGTCGGAAAACGTGATCGTCGTTAAAAACATGATCGTTTGAATTTAATCGTCGTTTCTAATTTCACACGACGAAGTTACACAAGTCTTCGAAAGTATTCAAGAATTTATCTCAAACAAAAATTATTCTAATCGTTCATCAACTATCGTATTATAACTCCGACTATTTCTTTCCTCTTTCTTTCCCTCTCTTTCTCTTTCAATATATATATATATATATATATGAATGTATATATATATATATATATATATATATATATATCTTTTTTTCTCTTCTTCTCTCTAATAGAGAGAATATATTTATTATCGAGAATGCGTACCTTATGGTCGAGTTTGGAAAGATCTCGTCCATCTTTGTTTAATACGGTTTCAATATCGAGAAAAAAAATTGTCATTAATTGTAACGTTCATGAGAAATACGAGGAAAATAAAAAAGAAATGAAAATATCCTCTCCCGGGGAGTCTTACGAAAGAAAATACGTAACTTCGGCTACTACTACGACTAATATTACGTTACGGGAACCACCAAAACCAAAAGGATTTCCGGTATTTGGTACCATCTTTGAATTTTTAACTACCGGTGGCGCTAAGACGCTTCATGAATACGTTGATCGTAGACACAAAGAATTAGGACCAATTTATAGAGAACGTATTGGTCCTATAATGGCGATTTTTGTTAATTCACCACAGGAATATCGAAGGATTTTCCGACTCGAAGGACCAATGCCTAAACATTTTCTTCCTGAACCATGGGTTCTCTATAACGAGCTACGATCTTTACAACGAGGATTACTTTTTATGTATGTGAAATTTTTTCATAATATCTTAAAATTATAATAGTATATAATAATATTCAAATGTAAGATATAATAAAAAATAATAATTTCGTTATATATATATATATATATATATATATATATATATTTTTTTTTTTTTCATAATGGTAACTAATATAGTTTATCACAGTATAATAATATTAATAAATTATACTATTTATATTATATAAATAATATTAATATGAGCATATAACAAATTCACATAGAAGAGTATAATTTAATGAACATAAAGATTATAATATAATTTATAGGAACGGAGAAGAGTGGTTACAATTTCGGCGAATATTAAATAAGGTGATGCTGTTGTCAGATCCAACCGACATGTTTGTTGGTCCATGTCAAAAAGCTGCTGAGGGATTAGTAGAAAAATGGACAAGTCAAATCAGTAACGATAATATTTTATCACAATTGGAAACACAACTTTATCAATGGTCGATCGAAGGTAAATATAATTATAATTTTTTTTATAATGATTATAATATACTCGTCGAGATATTTAATTATTACTTTATAAAAAATAAATATTTACACACATATATATATATATATATATATATATATATATGTATATATATATATAATAGCGATGTTGGCGACTCTAATGGGATCTACGTGGCACCGTCATAAAGCAAATATATCACGGGATTCAGAGAATTTGGCGAGAACATTGCATAAGATATTCGAATATACAGCTGAATTATCAATCTTACCAGCAAAATTAGCGAAAACCTTGAGATTACCTTCTTGGA